CATGTTGGTATGTACTGTGTTTGGTACATGTGCAGAGTCCTTCAGAGCACATGCATCATCTGTGCTTGATGAATGGGAGGGGCACACAGAGAGCACATCGAACACCGGGTTGCCTCGCAGCAGTAGCATGCTGACAGATGCACAGCTCTGCTCCTCCAGAAGAACGGAGCTGTCTAACTTAGGCGTCTACAGGCGTAATTGCTTCTGGGATTCCGAAGATTGTGTGCTTGGATGTGAAGTAGCAAACTGCGAAGTTTTTACGGATATCGGGATTCCTGCAGTGGTTAGCCTCTAGCTCTCCATCCCATATTTGGCTTTTGAGTTTATCTATAGCCTCATATAGGGGTGTGTGTACATATATATCTCTCCATCTTTTTATTAAGCTTTATTTTCCTCATGAAAAAGCTGTGGCGTTTGAAGAGCTGCCTCAATAGAAATGGTTCAAGTTTTAATAGTGGCATGTTTTGTGATTTCTTGGCTGAATCTGTTATAGCTGACAAGACTTTTAATGGCCTTGCACCTCTTACCAGCATTTTCCCAACGCGCTGTTTGTTTAAAAGCTAAGTAGGAGGAGAGGAATGTGTTGCTTTTCTCTTCTTGGCTGCTGTGTGTTCACACTGCCCTTACTGAAGCTAAGGGGTGAGCGTTTTAATATCAGTTTAAGAAAAGGACTGGGGCCTTCGTTTTCTGTAGGAGCATACTTCAATGGAAAGATTTAGTCAGAGAAGTGCGTGTGTGTCCGAGTTTTCAGAATGAGCAGAGGGGGTGATTTCCTTTGCTGTGGGGACGTGGGTATGAATCTCCAAAGTGTGGTAGAGACTTTCATAAAAATAATTGGAAAATAAGGTAAAATAGACATGCCTTCTTTCTGCTCACTCATTAAACAAATGTTTGTGTGCTCTTTGGAGAACTTTAAGCATCTTTTAGGATTCACGTATTCTTAGTAAAACTAAATACATAGCTTTCTTGCTGCTGTGTTGATGTTAAAACCATCTTTGAATCCAAATAATCACAAACTATATGCTTATTTCAGATTATAAATTTATAACTCAGTTGTTTAAAAAATAAGAAAAAAGACAGGAAGAAACTAAGAAATTGTAATGCTGAAAGGTTTACCTATGGTACCGTTTTACTCTAGGTAAGCTTGCGTCTTGGGAATGGGAAAACCAGGGCACAGAATATGAGGTACCAGGGTGCTGCCTGCGAAATCCTTGGCTGTTAGCCAGGTTTGGAGGGAGCCTGGAGCCCATTTCTTACTCATCAGTGTTGCTTAGGCCAGCACCGGTTGGAGTTCCTGGGCGTAGGAACTTGAGTTAACAGAAAACTTCAATTCAGACTCTCAAAATAGTATTTTTCTATGTTAGCCTTTTCACAGCTTTGAAGTAGTGCATTTCCTTTGGGTGTCATTGTAAAGCAGAGAGAGAGAGAGAGAGGAGTTGTGTACTTGAAAACATTTGAAATAGTTTGCAGTAGGTGTTCACCTATACTGTTGTGGGTGATAGTCCCAGGAAAGATGATTCGAAGATGAGAAGTGTTCTAGTACTTGCTTGATTTGCTGTACTTTGGGAAGGACTTTCCCCGAGTGATCTTTTCTTGGATGACCTCTTCATACTGTCATTAAAGCTTGGAAACTTTGGTCGTCTTGACAGTTAGTTCTGCACTCTCATTATGTTCATTCCTATTGTAAACATGCTACAATTGCTGTTGTTGTTGCTTAGAATAGATTTTTCCTCAGTTGTTTTGAAGTTCAGTAGAAGTAGAAGTTAATCTTTAAGAGAGTTAGGCTGCTAATGATTGGATGGCTGAGCTTGATAGGTCACGCTGTGTCTGTCTTTTCATTTGCCTAGAAGATGATGTTCTGCTGACTCCAGCTGTTCTTTTTGGAAAGCAGAAAAACAATTTGCTTTTCCTTCCCATGAAGTATAACCCTTTGTTTATCCTTGTACTGCTGCAAATTTCCAAAATGCAAGAGACTTGCAAAGAAAAGAAAGGGAGGAAATAGCTCTTTTCTTACGCTGTTTTTTCGTATCAGAGAGTAGGGTTTAGTGCTGAGTTGAATTGTTGACCTCTGTGGAGGTTATTATTAGCATGGGCTGATTTGTGTGTGGGGCTGTGTCTGACTGACTGAGTCCAGTTCATGGAACAAACTACCTACAGTGCATTTGGTGAAGGTGATTGCAGTTCTTCTAAGATAAATTAATCAAATAACTAAGAAGTTATTTGAAGAATAATGCTTTTTGCAGTTCTGCATTTACCTCGATTCACTGAAGTAATTGGGAACATCTCCCTTTCCAGCCAAGATGTTTTGGTTTTTTTTTGCCAGGAGTTGTTGAATTGCTTGAGTTTTGTCAGTACAGTGCATCTGTGGGCCGATGCTCCTTTTGTTTGCTGCTGCAGGGATGTTAAGAGGTGCTTGCAGAGTTTGTGAAATGCCAGTGACCGACTCTGAAGTCGCTGTAGAGATTTTTATGATGAGGGATGTCACCTGACAGCCTTTAATGATATGTTTTAATCATGGAAAGGAATTAAAATAAATGAAGTTTGGGGGGACCTGAATGTCTTTCCTGACCAACATAAGAATTGCCAAAGCAGAAGTCAGCATTAAAACTTTACTGGTCCTGATCTATAATGTCACCGGAAGAACTCGTTTGTATTTACTACCTAGGGCTGTATTTACAACCTTTATTTTGCTTGCTTTGTTCCTTAAGAGGCTCTGGCTACCCACATTTTATGCACTTCTGGAATGCAATAACAGTTGTGGCATCATCTCTTCAGAATTCGTTTTCCTTCCTGAGATCAAGGCATTGATAAGGCCTTACAAAATATTCCCTTGGTTTTGCTTTCCTGGCCTGAGATGGATTTAATTGGATGAATTGCTGCCTTTCTCCTTCCATTGCTTTATGACCTTTGAAATGGCTTGCTGTGATCTTTTGGATTGTGCAATACTCTCACTGCTCTTCTCTAAAAATGCAGTAAGGAGCCGTTCATCTTGGGCGGCACGAGCGGTATAGCAGCCCTTTGGGCACGTGCCCAGCAACATGCCATCGCGTGTGTCTAAGCGTTGTCCAACACCTGTTGGAGCTTACACCTGTGTGCTCTAGTTAACACGCTGCCACGCAGCTTTCGCACCGTTTTGCAAGCCTTGAAAATAATGCCATTAACCTTTTCAAGGTCTGTTGTCCTCACTGAAAGTTCTGGACAGTTTGGGGGCCTTCTCGGAAAGCCCCTGATATTTGCAGAATGCAGGGGGTACATTGCTCTGCCCTTTCTCACTGTGGTCGGCAGATCAGTATGCAGGAGTCTGACCGAAGAGACTTTGGGGAAATAGCAGCTTCGCTAGCTGCATCTTTGGTTTTTATATGCTGCTTCTCAGAAGGCGGTGCAGGATTTTTTGCAGTAATTGCAGTTGGGTCTGTGTGTTCTTCTAAAATGGTGTTTGCTTGATCTCCGTGCTCCTCCTGCCTGTGATACAGGATCAGCTAACAGGCCCCTTTAAATGAGACACACATGTCTCAGTTCAGATGTTTTATTTCTTGGCCAGCCAGTGAGAGCATATGAATTACCCAATTGTCCGTGTTCCCCAAAAACTGATGAAAACGGAGATTAACCATTTGTTTGATAGTCCCCTCCTTCCCCCAGTCTCTCTACTTAAGCAGTATTTCTTATATCTATATATATATGTTTTAGTGTACCAGAATGGATTTAGGCCTAGTAAATGGTATTACGCACGTGGCTGAAGGCTTTAGGTTACTAGCTTAAATTTGAACGCTCAAGGTCAAATCTTATCATCAGGACCCTAATTCATAAACGGTTCTGTGGCTTCATCCGTGCGAGTTCCGTACCTGAACCTTCAGGCCTTGCCAAGGACCCCACTGAAATCAGCCGGTTGGCACCACGCAGCACGGGCGCTGGCAGTGCCAGGGCGAGCATACTAAAGTTCAGATACGTGAGTAGGATTTGAGCACTAAATACAGGCAGGGATTACATGTTGATGTAGAAAGAGCAGCCGTCCACCCAAAAGAGCTTAATCTAAAATGACGAAAAACAAAGGAGTGGAAACGGGACATGGAAGTAGGACAGCAATAGCAATTAGGATCAGGGTCACCATGCTACTTTTAATTGTAGATTACTTATCTTTAATTATAAATGAAAAGCTTTATCTAATTGTTTGCAACAATTTAAAATGCTGTTGTTCCTTTTTTTTTTTAGTGGCTAATAGTGTGGTATTCTTGGTCATTGTTCTTTTTTGGGATTTATTTTGCTTTTGTTAACTCAGACTTGATATATTAAATTACATTTAACGTGGGCCTGATTCACTTTATGCCTTGGCATGTTTTAGTTCACAGCTATTTTCAGTGGCATTCTGTAATGGGTATTTTCACCTTTTAATCCCCAGGAATACTTCTCTATTTTATGTTAATCTTTATGCATGTGTATATATATTTATTTTTAATGATTATATAAAGGTAACGAAAAGCAGGTGAACGGTGGAAACTTTGCCATTGATTTTAAAGAAATTACAAATTTGCTGACTGTAAAGTTAAGTGCATGCAGAGGTATTTTGGGAAGCCGAAGACTTGTATATAGAATTATTAAAAACCAAAGCAAAAGGAAAACACACCTTTTCATAGCACAAAAATCTAGAATCTTGAATCGGACTGAAACTGCTGAAGGATGTCAGTTGAGTAAAATTGATTAAAGTGTGAAGATATGCAACCAATCTAGTCAAACTTTTAAATATTCTCCTTACCCCACTGTATCAAAATGGAATTAAAAAAATGTAAGCATAAGGAGAAATGAGTATTTACACATAATTAACTGTTCGAAATAGCTCATCTAACCACAGTCTTATCTCTAGGAACAAAAATGCAAGCATTTACTGAGGGATATTAGGAATTGAAAGGTTTTTGTTTAGACTTTTTGTTTTCTTGGCAATAAAGAAAATTCTTTGTAAGAAGTCATTAAGATATTTCTTAATGTTGCCTTTCAAAACTTTTCAGGCTGCTATCCTTGTCCAGGGCCAAACATGAATCCTATTGCTCTTGGAAGCCGTTGGCTTGCTTATGCAGAAAATAAGGTAAGGAAAGGTTTAATTTCAAAAAATTCTTTTCTTTGTTTCTGTATTTCATTCTTTTGTATTTTGGGGAGGAGGGGAGGGGGAAGAAAAGTCAAGTCTTTTGAAAAAAATTATTTGTAAGAGGACCTGCGTAATGCTGACAGACCTAATCTTGGACCCACACTGATTGTGCTTTGGTGTTCATATATGTCTTTACTCTGCATTTTTGATTTACATGAACTTGGAGGGCAGAAATATGTAAGTAGTATAGGCAGAGAAGACAGCCATCAACGTGTTTTCAGTGAGGTTGTTCAATAATCAACACATTTCGCATGTAAAAAGTTTAAAGCACTTAATCACAGATGCCTCTGAAAGGTGGGCAAGTGAGGATTCCTAAATCCTGTTTAGAGAAACTGAGTCTGACAGAGCCAGAGTTTGTATGAGACAGTACAGTGCTGCACTTTGTAAATTGGGAAACAGCATTAGAATGGACACTTCTTAACACTGTTGAAATAGCTAGGCTCCAGGGAGAAGAAGAAAAAGATGATGTTGAATTATTTTCTCTTATTTCTAGAGGCAAAAGAAGAAAATAGATCCCAAGCAAAACATTTAGCACAGGTCTTACTCAGCCCTAGGCCAGAAAAGTGATTGTGTGTTTAAAGCTTTAAGCGTTTGAAAATGTTAAATGCAACTTCTTCTAATGCCTTATTTTTATTTCAAAGCAGATGTTTTTTCTCCCTTCCACCTGTGACTGGAATAGCTGTTTCTAGAGCTGACCCAGAAATTATCAGAGAGGCAGACGCCTTCTCTAGCACAACTGATTTCTCTCCAAATTTTCCTTTAATGCCACGCCTATGTGGTTTTGTAAAACTAAACCAGTCAGCCTGGGATTTCAAAGTGCTACTGCCAAAAAAAAAAGCCACTGATCAGCAAAAGAATTATATCACAGAATGAATTGAAGTGGCTTGTGTGTTCCCAGGTACATTCACTGTAGACATCTCCTTTGTCCCTAGTTAAACTATTTTTATTTAAGGAAAGTAAGCCTGTAGAACCAAATACATCTTACAGTGGTTTTTAATTTTCTTTCAGTTAAACAGGCCACGTGTTCTTTGTACAGGCAACAAATATCTATAGTTGTTTTGCTGTTGTATTTAGAAGCACAGATTGTAGTGTTAGTTAGGGTTCAAAGGCAAAAACTGCTTTTGTAGGATCATGGCAGGTAGCAGAATCTTGTTTTGACTTACTAATTGTGAAGGAAGGCGATACAGAGTAAATCTCCTGTATGTTCCTTTAATCTATTAAAAGCAAAGTTTAAAGCAGCTCTTTTCCTTTGTCTTTTCTTTGCTTGCTAGTCATAAAAATGAGGGGAAAGCCATACTCAGATTCTTAGAATGTCAGATATTTAATGTTACATATACATGGCTAGAGCTTTTGATTATATTTATTTAAATTTATTTGTGGTATTGCTGCCAGACCAAAAATCCCACCATTTCAAAGTTTATGAATTCTTAGTGACTACTCATCTTGTAATTGAAAACTGGAGCTGAGTACGCGACAGTCTGGGTGGCACCCAGAAGATTATAAAAAGGGGTTAAGTGTCTCAGCAGGGCTTTTTGCTATTTGTAGGAAAAAACACACCACTGTACATGACAAATAAAAGCTATGGTAATGGGTTATGGGTTTGTGTAGTTTAATAGTAGTTACTTGGTTGCTGTCTGTCTTCTTGTAGCTGATCCGATGCCATCAATCCCGTGGTGGAGCCTGTGGAGACAACATTCAGTCTTACACTGCCACAGTCATTAGTGCTGCCAAAGTGAGTACATCATCTGCTGCTGGGAGAGGTTATCATGTAAGATAATTATTAGGTTTCCTTGCTGAATTGTACTGTGTCATCGTCCCCCCCCACTCACAAAATGGAAAACACATAAGAAGCATCCTAGCTTTAGCGCCGTGCCTATGGTCCTGATCCTGCCAATCTCTTGAGTAGCTGGGGTTTTGACAATGTATTCTGTCCACCTGAGCTGATTTTTTTTGGTTAATATTATTTATTACAAACAGTGGTTCATGACAGTGACCTGTGTTAGAGGAAGATTATAGTAAAATGATTTTGTATAATGGTTACTCATAATACTACGAGTTTACATGATTAGAAATCAACATTGTGAATCATTAGTCTTTTAGCATCATCAAAACCGACTTTACAAGTGCTTGGTGCTTTTTGGAGTCAAGCACACTAGCATTATGTGTTTTACTCTCTGAAGGATGACAGAGTACTGAAGCTAATTACCTGGCAGCTTTCTTTAAAGGTTAGTGTTTATTAATGACTGTTTGCATATAGGTTCCATTGCCTCGTTTTCTTAGGTCAGATGACGTTACAGTATCCCTCTGTTTTCAGAGAAATGTCTGGGTTTTCATAGTATCAAAAGACCATGGCTCGGAAAAAAATCTTAAATGAGCCAAAGAGGTATACAGAACTGATGTTTTACTATTCCCGCCCCCCACTCCTTTCCTTGAGGACTTGCCTGCAGCATTTTGCCAAGTAATTTCTTTTTCTCACACAGGCACACACAAAGTGACTTCTGGCATTGTCTGGCGAACTTTGTGCTGATTACAAACTTTCATTGTAACCACTAGCCTTTTCATTTCTGATATACACAACAAAACAAATCTAATAATAGGAATTAAATGACAGCACAGAGCAGAAAGCTCAGCATCACTGAAGAAAACAACAGTTACAAGAACCCACAAAGGGAGATGTAGGGCATGCCATCTCATGTGGAAGCAAAACAAACCCAAACATACTCCATCAGCATAGCTTTGGACAGAATCTCACTGTGGTTGGAGCAGGAGAAAAATCACAGGTTTTTTACATCGTTGAGGAGAACTTGGATTTGCTGTTCTTGTGAAGACATCTGAAATTTGCTGTATCTGTTTGCATGCCTTCACCATCAGGAAAAAAAAAAAGAGGGGGAAATATCAAACTCCATCCATCTCCGCATCATTAACATGTTTCTCATAGCACAGATAAGTTTGAAAAACAACTGGCTTAGCATGATCAGCCACGGTTAAGGTCAGATGCAGTGAAACCTTACAAATGACTGTACTGCCACAGCCAAGCCCAGTCCTGACTGAAGGAGAACAGCCCAAATCTTTCTTAAACCATATAATAATTGTCAAAGCATTGGAGTAGGCATCAAAGACTAAGCACTGTTCTGTTTAAATTCTTACTGACAGACTAAAAAAATATAAAAAGGGAGGACATCTATAGCTCTTACCCCCAAAGAGCATGAATAACCAGGTTTTAAAGCCTGTAAGGTGCAACATGTTTGCCTTGCCTCCTGCGTGCGTAGTACTAGCCCAAGATCACAATCCAGAAATTCCCACATTAAGCTAAATATATGCAATGCTGAAGTGGTGATGTTGCATCATGTGGATGGCTACTGAAGATAAAATGTGTTTCTAGTCACAGGACAGAAAAAGACTGTTAGCCTCTGGACAGGGATAAA